TCCTCATCCACTCCTCCTCCTCCCTCCTCCTCCTCCTCCTCCTCCTCTTTTCTCCTCCTCCTCCTCCTCCTCCTCTTCGAGGTGCAGTCTCCGGTCCTCGAGCCGTCGCAGTCGGGCCCCGAGAACCTGCCGGACGCGGTCAAGTTTGCGTTTGGCCCAGATGCTCCGCTTGAGAACTTTGAGCCGTACAAGGGCCCGGACTACATAGCAGATTTGTGGAATGCTTAGTTGCCTCGATACGCGCGTTTTGAAACGCAACACGTCCCGTGTTCAAGGCGTCCGTGTCAATACGTTGCGTGTTGGCTCCACGTACTGGACCACGTTTTGGCGAACGTATCGCGTCGGACCTACGTTTTCAGCCTACGTGTTGAATTCCGTATCGATACGGTACGTGTTGCGTGTTGCGTATCGGGGCAGCTAAGGTGGAATGGCTTCCAGCGGAAAGAGCCACTGGGGGACCCGGCGGACGACCCCGACTACCTCCCCTACGCGGGCGGAGCCGATCCCAACGATTTCCCCTTCATCGGGGTGCTCCTCGTCCTCGCGATCGGATTGGCCGCGCTGGGGGAGTTTTTGAAGAAGACCGCGGACCCTGTGGATGTGGAGGCCATCAGGGCCGCCGCCGCGAGGGACCCCGAGACTGGCGAGTTCATCAAGCCAGACTGGTACAACGATGCCAGGAAGCCGGAGGAGGAGGTGGTGCCCCCGCCGCGGGGCTGGCAGAACCTGAAGTAGGCTGCGTGGCGCTGACGGGTGATGCTTGACCGGCGAAGGCGTAGACATGTCGGCCGCAGGTGGAGGGGGTGAGGGTGGGGCGGGGTCGAAGCGCCTTTCATTAAGGCGGGCCTGTCCCTCTACAGGGGGAATGTTCAAAAATGGTCAAAAACCAGTCGGGGGACTATTCTTTGAGTTTTTTTTCAACCATTTTGGAGTATTTTTTGAATGTTTTTCGTTCTTCGTCCAAAATCCCCCTGTAGGGGGACAGGCCCGACTTAATGGTAGAGGCGGACGTCTGCTTGCACGGCCGGCAGCCTCGGTAGGCACGGACTGCGCGTATCTGTCGAACGGCACGCGTAGTGTCATAGCGTGCGCCCTCCCAAAATCGTCGGCGTCCGAGGCGTCAGAATGATCAGTCGGTGTGTGGTGAAGGCAAAGGACGTATGACCATCGACCTGGCAGGCCTACTTCACCGTCTTCGCCAGTGTAAGGTGTGCGGGAGCGGATTCCGTGTTGATTTACGATGATTTGCGTTTCCCTGAGTCTGCCCTTCGCAGGATCATTGATAGTTAATTTGCATTGTTTGGGGTTTGGTAGGAAGTTGGTAGACAGTTTACAATTCGAAGCCCACAGACAGATGATTCCTCTCCCTCTCTCTCTCTCTCTGTATATCTTATTCCGCTACTCCATCTATTCTTCTGTCGCTTTCTCGCTCTCTCTCCCCCTCGCGCGCTTTCCATTCGTTATTGGCTCGCTCTCCCTCTCTCTCCCTCTCCCTCTTTCTATCTTCCTCTTCTTCCGCTCCCTCATCTCATCTCTCCCCTTGATCCTTGATGACCGCTCCTGCCATGCTCTTCCCTCCGTCTCCAATTCTCCTTCGTCCTCGTCGTGGTCGTCGTCGAACTTCTAATGATCTCATCGTCGCCCTGCTTTTATCTCAACGCCAGCTTATGTGTGGTTTGGACGCTTCGGTTTCTCGGGTCGGACGATTTTTGTTTGTCTTGGGCTGCTGGCAGCCCGAAGCATCCACCCGGAAGCGTGGCCTGGTGTGAGGGAGGGCTGTGGTCGGAGTCGGGGGCTTTGAGCGGTCCGCTTCACAGCAGCAGTCCAGTTCCAGGAGGGCTCCAAGAGCCCAGGAGCTTCCAGCTGGCACGAGGGTGAATAGCAACCCCAGACTTGCGAGGGGTACCTCCTCCTCCTGCTCCTACCTCTCTCTCTCTCTCTCCCCTTCCTCTTCCGTGCGCGGGAATGGCCTGACCCGTCTGATCACGGGGACTGCGGAGCATCGAACACGGAGTTAGCGTTAAGTCGGGCCTGTCCCTCTACAGGAGGCGTATTCAAAAATAGTCAAAAAATAGTCAGGGGAGGATTTCTGTTACCATCTTTCAATGTGTGTAGGGTATTTTTTGACTATCCGTAAGGGCTTGGCCCCAGGCCGCCGGCCCCCTCTCTCGGAGAATGGGCCATGGAAGAGCTAAGTCATGAGGCCTTGGCGCTGTCGTGAAGCAGTATCGAAACTTCATGCGAAGCCGAGTCGCAATCAGCAAAACCAAGTGATCACAAGAGGGGTTACCACACCTGGCGATTGGTAAGACGTGTATGGTTTAAGGGCTTGGTTACCACACCTTGCGATGAAAGGGCCGAGGGAGTTCTCGCAGTTTGGGTTACCACGCCTTGCGATGGATGTGCGTGATGGGTTCGAATTTCAGAAATGTGGCAAATCCCCTGTGTTTTTGGACCCTGACCCCGCGGATCTGCGTAAGGGGTGGCGCCGAATTTCAGAAATGTGGCAAATCCCCTGTGTTTTTGGACCCTGACCCCGCGGATCTGCGTGAGGGGTGGCACCGAATTTCAGAAATGTGGCAAATCCCATGTGTTTTTGGACCCTGACCCCGCGGATCTGCGTGAGGGGTGGCACCGAATTTCAGAAATGTGGCAAATCCCCTGTGTTTTTGGACCCTGACCCCGCGGATCTGCGTGAGGGGTGGCACCGAATTTCAGAAATGTGGCAAATCCCATGTGTTTTTGGACCCTGACCCCGCGGATCTGCGTGAGGGGTGGCACCGAATTTCAGAAATGTGGCAAATCCCTTGTGTTTTTGGACCCTGACCCCGCGGATCTGCGTGAGGGGTGGCACCGAATTTCAGAAATGTGGCAAATCCCATGTGTTTTTGGACCCTGACCCCGCGGATCTGCGTGAGGGGTGGCACCGAATTTCAGAAATGTGGCAAATCCCGTGTGTTTTTGGACCCTGACCCCGCGGATCTGCGTGAGGGGTGTCGATTTCGAGCCCCCCCAGCAATTCAGACAACGCGCCCAGGGGACGCTGGAAAATCCTGTTTGGGCCTCCCCCCCCCTCGCGCGGTCAATCAACTAGTTACAGTAACCAGCAATAACTCAACTAGTTACAGTAGCCAGCAAGAAGCAGAACTGTAACACTGGAAACTACAACCTACGACTGGTACAGGAAACTGCGAATCACGCGCCTACAGCCTGGTGGCCCCACAAGGGGGCCGGCGGATTTTTATCATTTTTCGTCCAGGATCCCCCTGTGTGGGGGACAGGCCCAACTTACAGTTCGCGCCGCGGAACAACAGAACTCCTGGAGCGGCACCCTCGTGCCCTTCGTGTCTGCGACGCCCACCCCGAACTGCTCCTCGTGCCGGGCGCCCCCAGCGTGGGCCTCGGACCTTCGGCGCGGGGCCTCGTGGCCCAGCGGCCGTGCCCCGCCTGCAATGCCGACGCGCTCCGCCCACAGCGCGTCCACGGTGAGATCGCCCCCCCCCCAAGCTCAGAGGAGGACAAGGCACCCTTGCCGCGACCCTTCCCCCGCTTTCCCCTTTTTGGGGGCCTCCTGGGAGGCCCTCGTCGCCACCGCCGGGTTCGCTTCGAGCCCATTGGTCAGAGCGCCTCCCAGGAGAGGTCCGGAGAGCAAGTAGCGGTATCGGTAGTTGCTTGGCGTGTACGAGCGTCAGTTTCTCCCCCTCGCCACGCCGCCGCGCTCAGGCGCCCTCTTGCTCTTGGTCGGCACGCCCGCGACGGCCTGCACGATCTGAACGGCTTTGTCTCCTCCTCCTCTTTGCTCTCCCCGCGCCCCGCCGTACCCTGCTTCGCTTCCAGCGTGTCCCGCCGGTGGCCCGATCGGCGCCCGCACCTGCTTCGGCTCGCTTGCGCCCGCTGACTTCGAAGTCATTTTCTTCCCCTGTGGAGGAGGGCTTGCCCGTTCCTGTGTCGCACGCGTCATCATGCACCGGAAGCCAGACGCCAATCTTGGCCACGCCGGAATCTTATCTCACGTGGTCCAAGCCACCGGCTTGTACTGCCATTCTGTCGGGGGTGTCTTCGTTGCTCGGGCCTTGAGCCTTCCGATGCGCAGCGGCAGCAGCTTCTCGGTCACACAGGGCGCGTCCAGCCTGGTCCAGCCCATGGGAAAGAGAGGCAGAAGGATGGAAGGGGATCGAGAGGGGGGAAAAAACACACCGACACAAGTAATCGTCGATTCCTAAGAAAATATGGGGAAGTATGGGCAGTGTAGGGGGAAGCGAAAATCCAGGAAACACTGGAACATATGGGGAATCCGGGGACTTGTGTGTATTTCCTCGTGTGTCCCAGGGCCCTTTTAAGCGAGGGGAGGGTGGTCCGTTCCGCCGAGAGCGTGCGTCTCGTGCCGGTCTGCTGCCTGCATCCGCAGGCGGGCCCCGGCACCCGCCGACATATAGTCTTCCGACCCCGCGGCCCCAGAAGTCCCGACCGCTTCCCCGGGGTGGTTTCTCGCCCCGGACCCGTGCTTCGATGGCCCTGGGCCCCGAGAGCCGCCGTGGAGGGGCCAGGGCTGACACAACCCGGTCGTCGGAGATCTGGGCACCCCGCCGGCCTTCCGCCGCCCTCCGCCGAGAGGCGGACACGCCATCTCCCCGCTCCTTCGGGGGGCGCCTCGAACTCTTCCGTGGCTGGGGCCGGGGCTGCCAGCACCACGCCGTCGGAGATCTCTGGACCTGCCGCCGGCTCCCCTCCGCGGGCCTCCCGCCGCCCTCCGGCGCCGAGGAGGAGCTGTCGACTCCTCGACCCCGCGAGGAGCGCCTCGAGCTCTTCCGTGGATGGGGCCGGGGCTGAGACAGCCAGGTCGTCGGAGACCTGGGGACCTGCCGCCGCTTCGCTGCCACCGGCCTCCCGCCACCCTCCGCCGCGGAGGGGGCGTCGGCCCTTCGAGGGGCGCGCCGCCGTCGTCGGCCCCGCCGCCGCCCCCGGCTCGAAGTTTTGTGCGCGTCGTCTCCCGCCGGCGGCCCAGACTCCGAGCTGCGCAGAGGCGCCGTGTCAGGGCGGGCCCTCTGTCGAGGGAGGGGGCACGACGTCGGGGGCTGCTGAGTGTGTGCCCCCATGGGCCAAGGTGCCCCCAGCTTTTCGATCAATTGCGGAGCCCCTGGGGCCCCCGATGCCTCGCGAGGGGAGCTCTGGAGGTCGTGGGGGGGCCTCCTTGGAAATCCCGGGGGCACCTTGGGCCAGGGGCACTTCTGGCAGCACCCGACGGTGGCCATGACCAAGCCGTCGCGGGATTTTGCCAGCGCCGACGCCGACCTCGGCCATGGTCCGTGCCCGCCGTCGCCGATTCGTGTCGATGGTCCAGGATCTGACGGTGACCAGGAGGGGCAATGACTCTGAGCAAATGGCAAGGTGCGTGGATTGAGACGAGGCCGCGCAAGCAAGGACTCACGCGCGCGCATTGGTGACGGGCCCCGTTTCCGTGCAGAACCTGCGCGCTCCGTCGCCAAATGATGCGGCACTTGCTGCACGTTGATCTGGCGCCCTTTGCGCCAGATCCACGGGGCCGTAGTCAATTCGGCTTGTGCCAGAGATGTGTTGCGCGTTCTTTCCGACGGCGACGTTGACCTCGGCCATGGTCTGTGCTGGCCGTCGCCGACTGGCGACGATGGTCCGGAAATTCGGCGATGGCCAGCACTGGCCATGGCCAAGACAGACACCGACGCTTCCCCGTCCAGCCTTGGCCATGGTCGTCGCTC